GAGCCACAACTCAAGCCTTTGGCGGCCGATCGGGACGGTTCGGCCATCTGCGCAGCTGCTGAAAAGGCATCCCAGGGATGGAGAACCTCCGGGAACCCACGAACGCGCCCGGAAGCTCTGCGCATCGATCTTTCGAACCTTGACCGGCAGCGACGGCGGCAGCGGCGGCGGCGAGCGTGGCGGCGGCAAGCACGGCGGCGGCGACGGACGGCGCGCCGGGCAGGGCCAGCTGCGATCCGATGCGGTGCGATGCGGTTCCCTGGCCGGGGCCGCGTGTCCGACCCGGCTCGGTTCGCTGGCCCCGCCCCGGGGCAGCCGGAAGTGGGCGTGACGGTCTGATTTCGGCCCGATGCGTTGGCAGTCCGATCCGGTCCGATCCGGCTTCGCGGCTCGCTCCGCGTCTCGGCCCCGCCAGGCGATGGGCAGGGCCGCCCTCGTCCTGCGCCCCGCCGACGGCGAAACGGTCCCCCAAGGGGGATGGGCTTCTGCTTCGCCCGCTCTCTCCTCTGCCTCGGCCGTCCTCCCCCGTCCGCCCTCTTCCGCTCCGCCCATTCTGCCCAGCTTTTCGCCCTCCCTCCCCTGTCCTCCTCGCCACCCGCATCCCCCACCCCCCTCCGCCCCCCTTCGGCCTCCCTGCGCCCTTTCTAAGAGTACACAGTATGAATACTACTCTCCTCTCTCCACCGAACATGTGCTGAGAATTGCCGCCCCCCTCCGCGGGTTTGTTTTCTGCACATGTTGTGCGCATCCGAGCTTTTCTTTCGTGTCTTCTGAATTCGATCCCTCCGAGGGCGTCCGGTTTTTACACAGGATGTTTGCGCCAACGTATGAATTTGTGCCATCATATTGTTTATTGTTCTTCAAACTGGGTGCTCTCGCTGCAGCGTGGGCCTCATTTTCGCATCGGCGTTGCGCTCCCGTTGTTCAGAATGGCGCTCCCGCCCGAGCGCGGGAGATGTTCCTGGGTCCCACGTGTCTCGCAGGTCTCGCAGGCACAGCAGGTCCCAGAGGACCCGCACGTGTCGCAGGTCGCTCCGCAAGTCCCAAAGGCCCCACCGTTCTGTGTCGGGAAAGCGTGAGACTCGAGTGAGCCGGAGCTCGGGTTTGCCGACGGTTTTTTGACGAGCGCGTCCCAGAGTTTGACGGTCCAGTTTTCGTGGGATGTTTGCAGCGGTAGCTCGCGTCAAGTTTCAGACTGGGTCTCGTCATTTTTGTTGATGGCCCCGTCAGGCCAACCTTAGTCCCCCGTGCCCGAGTCTTACGTCTTCCCGAGTCTGACAGGTTCCGCAGTTCCTGCAAGTCCCACAGGTGTCGCTGGCCTCGCATCCCCGCGGGTCCAACAGGTCCCGCAGGTCCCGCAGGTCCCACAGGTCCAGGAGCTGGCGCATGTCTCACAGCTCCAACGTTATGATGTTCCAACCTGCTGTAGCCTTGATCACCAGAAGGAAGTTCGAGCACCAGAAAAGTGCAGTGAGGCTCCTGAAATGAGGTGCAGTTCAGGTTCGGAAGGGGCTCGGCGGTTCCTTGGGTCTGCTGGCGTTCCCTCGCCATTGCACCACGAAGCCCCCTCGGCGTTCCTTGGGTTATGTCGCGCGCGCAATCGATTCGCCGAACGGGGCGGATGATCTAAGGAACGGGGCCCCGAATGGGGGCTGGGTTCCCTGCACCGCTGCGAAGTTAATTGGCCGCGGGTTCGTTCGGGCTGTTCCTTGCGGCGCGCGTTTTGAGGTTCGCGTGTGTAGCAATATATCAAAGTGGTCGCATTGGGGCCCAGTTCTTCGCGCAAGCCCCTCGGTTCCTTCCGCGACGCGGTTTGAGGTTCACGCGCATGCCAAAATATGAAATTTGCAACGTTATGGCCGAGTTCCTGGCGCTAGCCCGTCGGTTCCTTGCGCGACGCTTTTTGAGGGCGCTTCCTATTCTCGCTGCGATTCTGACTACTACTACTACTACTACTACTACTACTACTACTACTACTACTACTTCTACTACCACTACTACTACTACTACTACTACTACTACTACTACTACTACTACTACTTCTATTACTGCTACTAGTACTCCGACTACGACTACGACTACGACTACGACTACGACGACTACTACTACTACTACTACTACTACTACTACTACTACTGCTACTGCTACTGCCACTACTACGACTACTATTACTATTTCCATTATTCTTGCTATTTTTACTACCCACTACTACTACTACTACGACTTCTACTACTACTACTACTACAACTACTTCTACTACTACTACTACTACTACTACTACTACTACTACTACTACTACTACTCCTACTACTCCTACTACTACGACTACTGCTGCTAGTACTACTACTGCAGCCACTACTTCTGCTACTACTACTACTACTACTACTACTACTACTACTACTACTACTGCTGCTGCTGCTACTACTACTACTGCTACTACTGCTACTACTACTACTACTACTACTACTACTACTACCACCTACTACTATTACGACTACTACTACTACTACTACTACTACTACTACTTCCTCTTCTTCTTCTACTACTACTAATACTACCACTGCTAGTATTAGTACTAGTACTCGTACCATTACTACTACTACGGCGACGACGATTACTAATATTACTATTCCTTTACTACTACTATTACAACCACAACGACTACTAGTACTACTACTACGATTCGTTCTACAACCAGTACTAGTCTTAATACTACGGTTTCGCTACTACTCGTATTACGATTACTAGCGCGGCTACTATTACTATTACTACTACTGTTACTGCTACTGCTATTTCCACTACTACAACAACTACTACTACTACTATTATTATTACTACTACTACTACTGCTACTACTGCCACTGCTACTACTACTCGTACTCCTACTACTACTACTACTACTACTGCTGCTGCTGCTACTACTACTATTACTAGTACTACTACCATTACGGCTACTACTAGTACTATTGCTACTACTACTACTACCACTATTATTACTACTACTACTACTACTAGTACTACTGTTACTACTACTACTACTACTACTACTACTACTACTCCTACTACTACTACTACTACTACCACTACTGCTACTACTTCTAGTACTACTACTGTTACTACTACTACTACTACTACTACTACTACTACTAGTGATATTGGTGGCTGTGGTAATCGAGGTGCCCGTTTTTGCTGCGGTGTTTTCAGCGTTTTCAGCGGTGCCGTGGGACCTGCGAGGCCTTGACTACGTTGATCTGTCTCGAGGCCAATGGACAAGTGGTATTAGTACACATCTCTAGTGGGACTCCCTAGTGCAAACCCCTAGTAGTAGTACAATTCCCTCGTGCATCTAATCTCCATAGAACAACTCCCCAGTTCAACTTTCTAGTGCAACTCTATTAGTGCAACTCCCTGCGCAACTCCCTAGTGTTTGTCCAATTCAGTACAACACCCAGTAGGGCTCCCTGGTACAACTCCCCATTGTCAGCACAACTCCCTAGTGCAACCACTTATAGAGTGTTTCTGCATTGCACTTACAGCATGGGCTTTCACGCGTTTCCTCTGGTTGCGCTGGGGGTGGGTGGGACCCTTCTCGCGGGCACCCCCGCGGCAGAGACTTCATTCCGCTTCCGGAATTTGAGGCGGGGGCAACCCCCGTGTTCAAACCCCTCGCCAGGGATGTTTGTTCCTCCGCGGAAACCAGACCCCGTGGTTTCCTGAGCGCGCCCCAGAAGTTCTTTCTTTCTGGATGGGCCCGTTGCAGTCGCGGGGCTGATGCCTGGGGGCCTTCGGGACTCTCATCATCCGTGCGCCCAGCTTGCAACAAAGGCTTTGCCGTTCCTTGCGCGACGCGGTTTGAGGCTCACGTGACTACTCAGACAGAGCAGTGGTCACGTCAAGGCCCAGTTCCTCACGCGAGCCCCTCGGTTCCTTGCGATTTATGTAGGTTCTAAGTTGACCAGGGAGGCCGTCGGGTCTCTCTCTCTCTCTCTCTCTCTCTCTCCCCATTCGTGCGTTCAGTTTTTGTTGTATGAACAAAAGCCCAGCCGTTCCTTGCGCGGAGCCCACCAATGGCATTGTTTTGTTACTCCTGTTGCGTGCCGCGGGCACCCGTTCCTTTGGTCTCGGCAGAGGGGGGGGTCTCTGTCAAAACGAGAGGCAACCATGAGGGAACGCTCCCAAAATGGGGCCCGGCCGTTCCTAACATATTTGCTATTTGATTATAACAAGAGAGGGCCTCGTTCCTTATTTAGCGTTCTTTCTGGCAGGGGCCTGACTGCACCGAAATTGGAGGATTTTCACGTGTCGGGCCCTGTGATACTCGTCTGACATTGCTTCTAAATTTGTTCGACACTTGTCCGCGTGCTCGAAATTATTTCTGGATGTGGTTGTGTAAGTACGATGGAAGCAACATAAGTCCAGCATAAGTCACCCAGGTCCCAACAGGCCCCGCAGGTCCCGACGGCGCCACGGGTCCCACATCTCACGGTGACGCGGTGAGGTCTCTGGTGTAGTTCCAGGTCGGCCATGGCACGTGTCCGCGGACAACGAGCAAAATTAGCGAAATGGGATGGGACGAGAGGGAAGGATATCAAAGGAGGAAAAAGACACCCCGATTGGATAATTGGTGTTTACTAAACGGCCCTGGGCGTTTACTAAACAGCCCGGCCCTGTCCGGTTCCTTCTCTGGGCGCGTTTGCTAAGCGACTTCGCGTGTCGGGGTAGTTTTTCTGGATTTTTGTTTGATTTCTGCGCTCCGCCGCCCCGTCTGACCCCCCCCCCTACCTGCTTCCCCACTCCTTGGCATCGCTCGGACGTGTGCATTTTTTCTCAGCGAGAACCATCGAGGACCATCCTGGACCATCGAGCCAAAAAAACACGCACGAGACCGAACAGTGCACGGGAAATGGGCGTCCGAGCGACGGCAAGACTTCCCCCCCCCCCGCCCCTCCCCGACGCGCCCGCGCTGCCGCCCCGCAGGTCAAGCAGATCGTGTTCAAGGGGCGCCCCCCCCCCCTCCACAGCCTCACCTCGGGCCTGTCCCTCTACAGGGGGAATCCTCGAAGATAGTCAAAAACATCGTCCGGGCGCGATGTTGTGGAGCATTTTTGTTTCTAGTTGGGGGTATGTTTGGAGTATTTGTGGCGCATTTGTTGGCCTTGTAACACGAGTAAAATCGTACAACAATAGGGCTCCCAGGGGTCAACCGTAGTAAAACAACATTCCAACAATAGTAAATAGTAATGTCAATTCTAGCTGTTGCAGGCGTCTTGGGGTTAAGCTCGGAGGTTGATAGACCTCCTACCCTGACACGTCGATTAAGGAATTGGCCGTTTTTTGTTCGCGAGAGGGCGTCGTGGCCGCTATTTTTGCGGGTCCAGGTCCGTCGGTGTCGGTCCTAGGCCGTTTTCAATAAGGGGAGGTTTATTAAAGGGAGGTTTGTCCACCGCCGATGAGTCGGGCCTTTCCCTCTACGGGAGGGATATTCAAACATATTAAAAAAACAACGGTCTAGGGACGTTTTTGTTTTAGTATTTGTGCTGGCTTTGTTGGTGTGTTTCTGGAGCATGTTCAATGCCTTCGTTTTTTATTCATTGTTTTGCCGATCTGCGCGGGCCCTCGCACCCCTCTCCCCCCCCCGCATGAAGTGGATCTTGGCTGTTTGGGGCGCCCGTTTCAGCAGGTGGAGTCTCCCCTCATAGGACCCAGTGCTGCAAACAGTCGCACTAACTGGTCCCACATCAGACCCAGTGCGGACCCAGTGCTGCGTCGTGGCGAAGCATCACGGCGGACGGCGTCTAGCTTGACGTCGGGCGTCATGACACAAGACTCAACGGCGGCGCTCCCCTATGTGTGGCTTCCGGGGGCCCTCCTGCCGCCTCTCCTCGCCAAAGTCTTTGGTATCTTCGGGTATGAGCTTAGGGGGGGGGGGTAGAAACTCCACCCAGAAGTCGAGGATCGAGGGGGAGGCAGGGTCGAGGTCGAGGATTGACGAGTTCTGGGACCTGTTTCTGGGGCGCCAGTCGATGATCGAGGCGGGGGCAGGGCCGATGTCAAGGATCGACGAAATCTGGGACCAGTTCCTGGGGCGCCTGCTCGCAGCAGTCAGGGAGTGCGGGACCCAAGAATATAAACCACCGTGTCGATTTCCCCTCCCTCCTCCTTACAGTGGAGACCCATGCCAAGAAACAGCCTGCTCGCCTACAGGGTGCCCTGGGTTTCTTGGATGTCGATGGTTCTGCTGTGGAAAGCCCGACGCTCCCACACCAACAAATCAATGGACGTCCTGGGGTCTCAGGGCTGGGTCTTTTGTGGAAGGTTTCTTGTGGACTGGCCTCCAAAGTACCCTCCTATTCCTGTCCTCTTTCCTGGGCGAGGGAGGACGGTGAGGGAGGTGGTGATGGTGGTGGTGGTGGTGGTATTCCCCAATCAGTGCTTGCACTGAAGGGGTCCTAGCGAAAATTGTAGAAAAGATTTGGCGAAAGTTTCCCGCCGATGTGGGTGGCCGGCTGGGTTCCCGGGTTCCTGGGCTCCTTCAGGTTACTGGTTCCGGGCCGATTTCGGTGGTTTCCTGGGTTCCCAGGTTCTTGGTCGATCTTATCGATCAAACCATCCATTGTTTGGGGTATCTTTTTGGTGTAATTATTTTCCTCCTTCCGGGGGGAGGGAGGGGGTGAGGGAGGTGGGGTTATGTTGTTCCCATCTTATTTCAGGGCCGCATCCCAGAAATGATGTTGAGCACCCGGGAAAGTGTCGAAACAGTGTCGGCCGAGTGTCTCCCAGGGTCCGACATGTGAAAACCATCTAATGTCGGTACTTCCCTGATGCTCGAAATTCCTTTCGGCGATCAAGGCTAAAGTAGGTTGAAATATCGTAACGCTGGACCTGTGAGGCATGCGCCAGCTCCTGGACCTGTGGGACTTGCGGGGAAGGGCGGCCAGCGACACCCGTGGGACTTGCAGGAACTGCGGAGCCTGTCAGAATCGGGACGACGTCAGAACCTGCAGGCTAAAGCAGGTTGGAACATCATACATCAGGAGTGAAGAAAACAAAGACACAAGTAATCGTCGGTCCCCCAGAACATGTAGGAAAATATAGGAAGTGGGGGAAGACAGAAGCGCCAGGAAATTGGGAAATATGTGGAATCCTGCTACTTGTGTCTATTTATTTGTGTGTGTGTCGCCCCAGGGCCCCTTCAATAGATGTGGTGGTGGTGGATCTGTTTGGGCCCCGCAGGAGATCGGGCCCGGGAAGGGGCGCCCCGCGTCCTCCCTCGGGGGCCCGGCCGCGCCCCCCCCCCCCCCCGGGGGCGAGCGGCGAGGGGCCCGCCCGCCTCCTTTCGGGGAGGCTCATGGAGGGGCGGACACTGGGTGGACCCAAAAGCCCAGAATTTGGACGCCCGAAATGGGCACGGAAAGAATGGGTACCATGCCCAACAGCAGTTCTTGTTCATCTTGAACAGGATTTGCTGTCCACGCCGCTGCGGCCTGTGTCCGTTCGAGACAGAAGGCCGCCTGCCCAACAGCGGCCGCTGTCGGTTTGGGACAACATTTGTTGTTGGGCATCTTACCCATTCTTTCCGTGCCCATTTCGGGCGTCCAAACAGAACCCTTCGCGTAATGAAGAAATCGTGACGGAAGGTTTTTCTTAATTTTCGGCCTCCGGGGGCCCTCACCGGGCCTCTGGAGCGTCAACAAAAACGATTCAAGATGCAAAGCCGGCCATGGGGAAAGGGTCGGGACCTCTGGGGGTCGACGTAACGAACAAATTATTACGTCGGGGGTCTGGGAGGGGGTCCAGCGACAAGGGGGTGGCGCTACAAGCCGCCACAACCGGGATGTAGCAGGCGAGCTCAGAGGATCGCGCCGCGCCGCCGATGCAGCGGCGACGTCGGGCTAGAAAAAAAGCCTTCCTCCAGACCAGGCCATCGGTCCGCGCCTAAGCGTCGGCGACGTGGCGCGATCCTCCGACCCCATTTTGCTCTTGACCCGCTGCGGGCGGCCTTCGGGTTGACCCAAGAAGGGGTCCAGCGACAAGGGGGTGGTGCAATATATTTGGTGTAATAGATTTGTGGGGTTGCAATACATTTGGGGCTTGCAATGCATTCTGGTGCGCAAGTGTTTTGCTGCATTTTTGCGCAAATTCCATAAATTCCTTGCGATACAACGCAATCTAATTCTCGGGTCAACACGTTTGCAATACAAGTGCCCCCCACACACACACTGCACCACCCCCTTTCAACTGGACCCCTCTTTTGGTCGACCAAAGGAAACACACAGACACAATTAGCCCAGTGCCCCCGATAATACAACATACCCCCTTTGCCCCTTCCATACTGTTTATCCCGTGTAAACATGATTAAATTGTTGAGAGGGGCGCGGAGGCCGAACTTGATTTAGCCCGGGGAAGCTGCGAATCGAGGTTGCGATCATCTTTTTTTGACTGGCGACGAGATCAAACACACTGAGCATGGCAGGATTGGTCTCTCCATGTCAACTTCCGCAATCACGAGCGTGTGGCAAGCCTTTGGGATTCTCACCATATCAGTTTCCTCAATTCACGAACGTGCGGCAAAGCCATGGTATTCTCACTTTCTCAGCCGTTCCCGAGTCAGGAACGTGTGGCAGGGCCATGGGGACCGATTGGGTTTTGAAGCCACATGCGTTATTCGAACAGGCGAAGCATCGGAATTTCAGTTTTAGCGCATCCATCACACGGTTCGTGGCCCCTCTTCCATCTTCGGTAGCCACGAGGCTCGAGATCTCTCGAGTCAGCCTTGCGCCAAGCTCTACAAGGTCAGTCTACACGAGCGCCCAGGATCATCATCATCAACAGAATCATCATCACCCTCGCCCGGAGAATCGTTGATCATCCCCGCCAGACCCCCGAACTGCATTATCCCAAGGGGATTATTATCGGGAGTTTTCGGTTACTTTTCGACTCCTTGAAGATATGGGACTATGGAAAGTGGGTGGGAAGGTGAAACTCCAGAAATTAGCCGGGCGAAAGACCCAACCATATCCAGTTGTGAATATTTCAATTATGGGCGTCATCTTCGCCCGCGATTTCTACGAGAACACGAACCGTGTGATGGGCGTGCCGAAATGCGTGGCGGGGCACACAACGCGAGCGAAAACGACAGGTTTGTTTGCGAGAGATTGAGAGCGGGTGAGTGTGAGCGCGAATGAGTCTGATTATGGATGAGTCCGCGCGCGCGTGAGTCCACAAATGTCGACGCCCATGTCGGCACGCCCCTCGCGAGGATCGCGCCCGTTTCCTTCCTGTGTTTTTTCTCGCGCGGCCATGTCCAAGGCCAAGGCTGCGGGCGCGGCGCCGCGCGGAGTCCCCGCGACGCGCGCCGGTCGCCTCCCAGGGGTCCCGGCGACGCGCGCGGGTCGTCCGTTGCGCGGAGCAGAGAGCTAGCAGGCTGGTCGATAGCGTGCTAAGCTCTGGCCGCTTGGCAGAGCGACGACGGAGCGAGCGGGGAATTGGGCAGAGCGCAGCATGGAGTTCCCGCGGCGCGCGCCGGTCGCCCCGAGGGGGTCCCAGCGACGCGTGCGGGTCGCCTGCGGCGCGAGGCCAAACAGTAAGACCGTCGAGAGACGGCGAGGCTCGGGCGGGTCGCTCCGCAGGTCAAGCCTCGCGGATAAACTCGGTGAAGCCCAGCTCCCGGGCGAGGGCCGTCGCCTCCCTCCTGCGCTGCTTCGTGCGCGTTGGAATATGCCCCAGCTTTTTCCGCAAACCCTCCGCCGGCCCTGCCAGGGCGAGCGCGATGCGCGGCGCCCGCGTGAGCAAGAGGTCCTCGTGGCGCGTGGCACGCGAGAGCAGCGCGTAAAGCTTCAGCCGCCAGTCGTCGTCCCCCTTCTTGTCGTTCCCGACCTCGTGGCGGCCGCAGTCCAGAATCACGTCTGGGCGTCGTCGGCCTAAGGAGCTGCGCGCAGGACGGCCGACGGCCCAGGGCGAGAGTCCACGGGGCCGACAGAAGGCGTGGCCGCGGACTGCT